GCAGAGAGAGAGGGAGACACAGAATCGGAAGCAGGCTCCAGGCTCTGAGCCATCAGCCCAGAGCCTGACGCGGGGCTCGAACTCACGGACTGCGAAATCGTGACCTGGCTGAAGTCGGACGCTTAACCAACTGCGCCACCCAGGCGCCCCTTGAATGGTGTTTAAAATGCAAACAGCAAAGCAGCACCAAATCAGCTAGACCATCCAGAGGCACAGATCTTTGGGATAGCATCTGGACCCTAAAGCACCAGCAGGACATTTTTTTTTTTTTTTTTTTTTAACTTGGGAAACCAGCTAAATTGCCCCCTTGTGTCTCAGGTCAGGATTCCTGAGGGGTCTGCCCCATAATCCACAGGGACTCTGCAGTCATGGCATTCCCACGTGGCCTAGAATCCTGTGCACAGGGGGCTTGTGCACAGAACCTGTCCCTCTGGCTTGAGGAGGGCCCAGGGGTCTGAAGGCCCCTCCTGGCTATGCCTGCCCCATCGGCTTGTCAGTATGGATGCTCTGAAAAGATGTTCAGGGACTCACCAGGCCTATGGGAATAACAAGAAGAGAAGCCCAAGGACTAAAGGCAGGAATGCATGGGTAGACCAGGGGCCCAATGGTGAGGTCTCTATGAGAGATGGGAGACGTGGAACCTGGACAAGGAGGCTGGTGGGTTGGGGAGGGTGGGAATGCCAGGCTGTGCATGAGTCTCTAATGTCATACAACGTCAAGAGAATTTGGTCTCCACCAAAGGGGTTAAGGGTCAAGCTTAGGTGTGTGTTCATGGATCTGGCTCTGGCAGCTCAAGGGTGGGACTAGACAGGTGTTGGGAGGCCAAGGGGCCCAGGAGGAGGCTGTTAGGGAGAGAGGCCTGCACCTCTTTGAGCAGTGGGGAGGGAGAGCTAGGCAGAGAGGGGTGAGGGAAGAGGGTGGGGTGGTTCTGGGCTCCTGCCCAAGCGCTGGGGAGATGGGGATGGTGACGCCCTTTACTGAGCTGGGTCATATGAGGCAAGGCCAGTTTCAGGGCAGGAGATGAACACACCCAATCTAAGCTGCCTTTGGGACATCTGAGCTGAAAGAGAGGTCCATCCCCACAAAAGGGATCTGGACCTGTCAGCAAACATTTGTTGTGGCCACAACTCAGGAGAGCTTGGAAATAGGTAGAAGAGGCAAAGGGCCCAAAGAGAATGCTGGAGGACAGCAGCATTTGGGGGTCATCAGAGGATCCCCCAAAGAACCTTCCAGACAAGCCCAACCCCAGAAGAGGTAGGTGTCACAGTACCATGTTTCGCCTCCAGGGAACCAGTCTAAGGGTTTTGGAACCTACTTATCACCTCCCTGAAGCCCTGGATGTACTGGCACTCTCCCCATCCAAAGGGTCCACGTATTCCTGGACAGTTGGGTCATCACTACCTGGGAAGAGACTCCAGCAAGCCTCAGGGAAGGAGACAGACAGAGGGGAATGGATGTGAGAGGCTAGCTTGGATGGGGGCCTGGAAAAGGAGAGCCCAACTTCTGGCTCACTCAATTCTCCTCACCACTCACAGGACCTGGGCCTCGAGGGGACCCTCCTCACCGACATCCTCTATAGGAATGTGGCCTTCCTCAATCTGGTGGACCCTATCTCCCATGACCTGCTCGTGAACCTGGCCCGTGACCTGCAGTGCCCCAAGACGGTGAGGCCAGTAGGCATGGACCTCAGGCTGGGCCGTGTGGCTGACAGGGGCCAGGAATGCCCAGGGCTGGGGGCTAGGAGCCTCGGTCCTCAACTGGCTTGCTTTGAGGCCTTAACCAGGTCAATGTCCTTCTCTGGGACCTGATGGCAGTTTCAGTGTATTAGGCTGGCAAGCACCTGGAACAGAGGTGAGCTATGCTTTCCTACACCTGAAAAGCTGTGTGTTGCATAGGCCTGCTTCCTGAGTGGCAGCACTGTGTGCCAGGACCAGGGACCCAGGCAGGAAGTCTTATGGGGATGCTGTGGGACATAGAATGTTCTGACAAATCCACTGATGGAATCAAACTCCAAGCCTCTGCATTCCTGGGGCCAGAAGAGAGCCACCATAGGCTGGAACCCCTGTCCACATGTCCCCATCCTGTATGGATACACTTGGGGATGAATGCTCACTGCTTCCCATAGCAGTGTGAACCATAAGCAAATCCTTCTTCATGTTGAATTGGCGTCTGCCACTCCATCACCCCTCCTCCCATGCCACCACATCTGCTCCCAACCCCACTCTACATCCTGCCACAAGCACTGAAGGTCCTGCGCTCCTGACACAGCCACCAGCCCCCATCCCTTAGGCCCAGTGAATCCCTGTGCAAAACAAGAGTGCCCACTATGGGCCCTGCCAGCTCTGAACTCCTACATCTATATGCAGGCATCACCAAGGATTCTGAGGCTAGCCTAGGGCTATCATAGTGACTGCCAGGGCTTGCTGCCACTGTGTGTACGCTCTGTTAACAGAGGGACAGGATAAAGAATGTGCTGGGTAGTGGAGCGTGCTCAGTGCCAGCTTTGTGGAAAGCAGAGCATCCCTGTTTTTCCGCCCCAAGCTAGGTCTCTACGAGGGCCCACTCAGGACCAGAAGAGAGCCGGGTGGTGGTGATGTAACACATTGACCCTCCCAGCCCTGGCAGCCAGACCCAGGCCCCACGGGCACGGTCTAGTTTTGGAGAGTGAGAGGAAGAAGAGCATGCTGACCTGGCTTGTTCCTATTCCCTGGGGGTGGCGTCAGTGGAGCAGGGCTCCCTGGAGGGGTCTGGTCCTGCCTCCCCCTGTGGCGAGTCCCCCCGGAGCGCTGAGGGTGGGCAGGGAGCCGGCTGATAGCCCGAGACACTGGCCTTGGGCCTGAGGACAGTGAACAAGGCCCCATTGTCTAGGCATCCTCCCGCCGGGCACTGCGGGCCTCAGACCAGCCTGTCCAGCTCCCAATGGGCAGCCTCCCCTGGCTCTGTGCCAGGCCACAGCCAGGGTGGGGGGTGGGAGGGGGAGGCTAGTGGGTAGCTCAGTGATCCATGATGAATCATGTGCCGGAGCACACACTTGGATCCCAAAGGCCCAGAGGGGCATGGGAGGGGCTCGGCCTCATCCTGACAACACTGCCTCCTTACAGGACTATGAGCTCTGGAAGTCCTCGGACAAGATCTGCCGACAGCTCATCTACCACCTCACCCCTCACTCCAAGCGGCAGCGAGGATCCAGCCTGCTCCAGAGGAAGACCCAGAGCTGGTAAGGGGAACCCAGCCACAGCCCTGCCTCGTGGCCCCTTAGGGTCCCTTCCTAGGCTGACATGGAGAAGCAGCTCAGCAAGAGGCTGGTGCCTGAAACCCCACCATGTGACCCCCTCACCCTTGTCTGCATCACAGCTGTGGAATGCCCCCAAGCCAAACTGCACCCTCTGTGTGACCTGCCTCCTGCTTTTCGCTCACCTCTCAATCCCTGGCCTATCACAGGGCCTGGACGATACCCGGACCAAGATAACCCCAGCAGGCGTAGCAGGCGTCAGCTGAATCCTCACACAGGCTGTGAGGGAGGCAGATTCTGGGTCATGATTCCCATTTTATAGGGAAGGAAACTGAGGTTGGGAGAGGCAAAATGGCTTGCCTGAGGCCACACTCTGCCCTCATGTTCCTACAGCTCTTTGAAAAGCCTTTGCCAGGCAGCCTGAAGCCGAGGCCTCCGCAGTGAGCCTAGTAGCCTGCTCTGCCATGGGGTCCCCTTCCCAGTCACTCCATCACCATTTTGTGGCCAGACTCAGCCTAGTTACCTGCTGCGGACATCCAGGTTGAGGGACCTAGAACCACAGCGCTGGTGCTCTCCCCTGCTTGCTCCCTGCCGCACCTCTGCCACCCTTCCCCTCCTTGAGCCTGGTGGTCCATGATGAGCCCGGAGCCCATGAGGTTGTTTCCTGCCGTGGTGGTTAAGGGCCCTGAAGGTGGTCCCACTACCCATCTGCCTAGTGGTCCATGTTCAAATGACAGGAGAGACCTAGAGGGAGGTTCGAGGGGCGGTGGAGGACCCTCCTCAGTCTCTAAATTTCTTTTCTAGCTTGGAACACAGGGAACCCTTCACTGCCCTTCACCTTCCACCTGCCCACCCCCACACCTCCCAACACCTCCCCTCTTTCTACCCTGGGCCTGTCCCCTCTCTAGCCCTCAAGACTGGGGGGACAGCCGGATACCCTATCACCCTCATAGGAATGTCTATCTTTACCCTTCTAAGGAGTGACCTTAGAGGAGGCATGGGAAAAAAGGTGAGGGCAGGAGTCAGAGCACCTTAATTTGAAGACCCAGTACCCTCGTAGTGGTGTGCGAGCATAAAAGAGTCCTATCACCTCTATGAGCATCATTTGCTCCTCTGCAGAATGGGATAATCATTCTTACTCAATTAGGTTGGCATAAAAATAAGTGAGACAATAGGTACAACAGGTGTGGTGATGCAGGCACACAGGAGGTTTTTATAATAATAATAGCTCATGGAACCTTAACATGTATATTTATTCCTCACAACAGCCAGGCCCTCTTGTCACCAAAGGAGAAACTGAGGCTCAGAGAGGTTCCAAGAATTGCCCATGGCCACCCACGTAGAAAGTAGCAGTTTGATCCCAGCTTGGCCTGATTGTAGGGCCCAGGCCCTGCCACCACTGAGGGCTGCCCCAATGGGTCATTGTCTACAGCCAGTAGGGACCTGCCTTGGCCATGGACCCTTGCTCAGTCCATCTTTGCCTGCAACCTTTCCACAGCCTCAAGAGCAGCCTCCAGGTGACTCAGCTGGCTGGGGAGACCGTGAACCTGTCGGGGATTCCACTGTCGGCGCGGGATGTGCAGCACATTGTGCGCTACCTGGGAAACCAGGGAGCCGGGCTCACGGTGCTGGACCTGAGCTTCACGGGGCTCAGCGATGAGCTTCTGCGCCTGCTGCTACCCAGCCTCTGGACGCTGCCCCGCCTCACCCAGCTCCTGCTCAACGGCAACAGGCTGACGAGGGCCACTGCCCGTGAGCTCACTGAGGCCGTCAAGGACTCCACCAAGTTCCCCTCGCTGGCCTGGGTAGACCTGGGCAACAATGTGGACGTGGCCTCCTTGCCCCAGCCCCTGCTGGTCGGCCTACGCCGGCGGCTGAGCCAGCGCACCTCACTCCCCACCATCTATGAGGGCCTGGACCTCGAGCCTGAGGGTAGTGAGGCCAGGGCCACCTCTGCTGCCTCCACCTGGGGCTCTGCAGCTGCCGAGCCAGGGTCGGAGCCCCAGGCCTGCTGCACGAGGTGACCTGCCACCACCCTGGCTGCTGCTACCTGACTGCCAGTGGCACATGGGATGGGGGATGATGGAGGCCTTCTAGGTCCCCAGAAATCCAGTGTAAATACTCAGCCTGGGATTAAGGGGATGGAAGGAGAATGGGTTCACCAGAGGCTAGATGGTCAGCCCAGGATGGAGTCTCAGACTTCCCTCAGCAGGAGGGCCCAGAACCTGCTGTGCCGATCCCACAGTAAACAGAGATGCCCCCCTCTGCCTCAGCCTTTCTGCACCATGGACCTCAGGGCCACTGAGTGCCAGCTTGCTTCTGGGGTGGGGAAAGGGGTGGCCAAAGACTCAGGGACACTGCACACCTGAAAGGGAGGGACCAAGCTCTCACTGACTTACCCCAGGTATTACTCCCTGAGAAGACACCAAGGTGTAGGGGTCAGGTCCATCTGTGGGCTGGGGAGTTAGGGAGTTAGGGGAGGCCTCCAGGGACCTCGCCTTCACATCTGGGTGGGGCTTGGAGAGGAGCAGTTGGGAGGGCACAGAGGGGCAAAGCTCAGACTGGAGCCCCACAGCAATCTTGGGCCTGAGCCCAGGATGCTGACCTCCCCACCAGGGAGGGCCCCTTGGGCTGAGGACAAGACTGTGCTGACAGGAGGCAAGGTTCATCTCCCACAGATGGACAAGTGCTGCCCACCACCCCTAGGACCCCCCCCCCCCCCAGGCTCCCTGTACTGAGTCAGTGGGGAACTCCATGGGGTTAGGAGATACCTTAGACCAGAGACAAAGGGCTTGTGTGTTCCCTCCAGGCCCTGGAGGCCCGTGTGCACAGTCCTCCCCTCTGGGGGACTCCAAGAAAGCATGCAGGACGTGGGGGTGGGTACATCCAGCAGCAGGGGACTTGGGGTGGAGCATTCCGAGGGCTTCCCAGGGGTAGTCTGCTCCCAGAAAGGGGCTATCTTCCCTCCCCACAAGGACCATCAGGGCAGGCTCTGGATCAGAAGCCTAAAGCCATGGTCAGGGGTGCCTGGGTGGTGCAGTCGGTTAAGCGTCCGATTTCAGCCAGGTCACGATCTCGTGGTCCGTGAGTTCGAGCCCCGCGTCGGGCTCTGGGCTGATGGCTCAGAGCCTGGAGCCTGTTTCTGATTCTGTGTCTCCCTCTCTCTCTGCCCCTCCCCCGTTCATGCTCTGTCTCTCTCTGTCCCAAAAAAATAAATAAAACGTTAAAAAAAATAAATAAATAAAGCCATGGTCAGCCTCACAGCCTTGTGCGGAGAGCTGGAGTACAGCCCAACTAGAAGTTGGACAGGGCAAAGACAAGGAAGGAATTTGAACGTGTCTGGGGGGAAACTGAGGCCCAGAGTGGGGAAGACAGCAGCCTAAGTCTCCCATGCAGAGCCAGGTCAGGTCTGGGGCAGTGGGGATCCTCACAGATGAGGAGAGACCTGGAGGCAGAGAAAAGCCCTCTGGGCCAAAGAGAAGGTAGGACTCTCCCGGGCCCACCAGCTAACCCTCCTCCTCAGTGGGGCCCACGGGGGACCATGAGTCAGCACGGATTCCAGGCTGGCTAGATACGCAACAGCCCCTTGAGTGAGAAAGGAGATGACCAAGAAGGGCGAGGACAGGGAGGTGCTGAGTTCCAGGACCAGGAAGGAGGTGGGGAGGAAAAGGAGCTCCCTTTCTACTGCTGGCCCCTGCCAGTCTGGCTGCTTTTGGAGAAACCTTTATCCGGAGGTGGTGAGAAGGGTGTGGAGAACACCAAGTTCAGCCCAGCTCTGCTCCTGACTTACTGTTGGGACCTGGCCAGGGCCTCCTCTCTCCCTGCCTTGGGTAAATAGGACTGCCTGTCCATAGTACCTTCCAGCTCTCAACCCTCCAGCCTGGGGTCCTGGCCCTGTCAGTCCTCCTTGTTTTAAAGACACGGGCTTGCCCATTGTGCTCTTACTCTGGAACAGGGGGCTCAGGCTCCCCAGAGCAAGGCAAAGTGGGGTGGGAGATGAAAGGGGCCAGCTTGGAGAAGGATAGGGAAGCCAGCCTTGCACTGGGCAGGCTTGTAAGTCCGTCACAGGCAGGCAGCAGTGTTCTCCTGTGACTCCTTGCTGGAGAAATGCCAAGCTCTCTGGCCCTCCTGCCCCCCTCACTCCCTGCCCACCACTGGCCCAAATCCAGCCCACAAACCTTGAACGTTGCCGCTGGGAGAGACTCCTACCGGGATGGTGTGAGGACCTGAGCCGGGTGTCATTAGGCGAGCTCTGGGAGAATTCAGGCAGCGGCAGCTGGTCTCAATCTCCCCGCCTCTCAGACGGAGGCACGCAATGCAATAGCTGAGCTAGAGCACAAAACAGCTCAAGAGAAGAGGGTTGGCTTTGTTGCCAGGCAGGTGTCCACAACCCCTTCACGTGCCCTCATGTCAGGGCCTCACGGCCACCAGTGAGGCTACTCTACAGGCAGGTACACTCCAAGAGGAGGGGGCTTGTGTCTCTCAAAGCTTGGTGGGCAGAGAGGACACGCCAGGCGGGCTCCAGCCCGAGTTCCAGACCCAAGAGGAAGCAGGTAGGCCTTGCCCAGCCCCAGTCTTGGAGGCAGACAGACTCAGCCTGGTTCTGGCTCTGTCACCCACTGGTGGTATCCTCTCAGGGTTCGTTCCTTCATCTTGGGAACCAGGTATATCAAGTCTCCCCTTGCCCTGTTGGAGAGAGCATGATATAAGGTTTGGAAAGTGCCTGCTACGTGGGGGGCACAGGGCAGGCACTCTTCAGCGTCAGTGGGGCCTCCACCCAGGGCTCTCAGAATGGAAATGGCAGGAGCCCAAACCTTTGGGACTAGAGCCGAAGCCATGCATTTATTTGGAGGGCACTTCTGTAGCCTTTCTGTTGGCAAAGTATTGTTCTGATGGCTTTACGTTTCGTTAATGCTCTTCATACTTATGAGTGAGTAAACTGATACACGGACAGGTTAAGTGATCTGTCCAAAGTCAAAGAGCTAGAAACCGGAGGAGCCGGGATGTGAGGGGGAGGCCCACATTGTCTGTGATGCTACCCCCTGCCTGATGCTGCCTATCCCACAGCCAGCCTGGGGGCTGAGGATTCACTGGAACTCTTGAGCAAGCCTCTGCCAAAGACACCATTCGATACAGGAGACCATCACAGTGCTCTGATGGCAGACGTCCTGCTGCGGGAGGGACCCTCAGCCACATTGCCCCTAAAGCAGGACCAATCAGGACCTCTCTGGGCCTGTTGCCTCGTATACAAAATTGAGGAGGGGGGAGGGGAACAGTGAGGATCTAGGCTTTGCCCTCTTCCACGACTGAAAGGGACAAATGGGGAGTGGGTTCAGAAGTACTCATCAGACCAAGTGAAGCCCAGCCTCATACTCAGGGGTGCGGGATCCATGCCCACATCAGACAGTCTGGGACAACTCCAGCTGCCTTCACCTCTCTGGGCATCAGCCTCCTCAAACCTAAACCTGCCTTGCCAGGATGTTAAGAGAATCAAAAGGAAACATGTAGAAAAGATACCTGTGCAGGGCTTGAACTCAAAAACTATGAGATCATGACCTGAGCTGAAATCAAGAGTTGGACGCTTAACTGACTGAGCCACCAGGCACACCTTCAATTTTTTTAAATGTTTATTTTTGAAAGAGACAGAGTGCAAGTGGGGAAGGGCAGAAAGAGAGGGAAACACAGAACCTGAAGCAGGCTCCAAGCTCTGAGCTGTCAGCACAGAGCCCGACATAGGGCTCAAACTCACGGACCACGAGATCAGGACCTGAGCTGAAGTCGGACGTCCAACCGACTGAGCCACCCAGGCGCCCCTTAATTTTTAAAAATTGTATCATTTTGGGGCGCCTGGGTGGCGCAGTCGGTTAAGCGTCCGACTTCAGCCAGGTCATGATCTCGCGGTCTGGGAGTTCGAGCCCCGCGTCGGGCTCTGGGCTGATGGCTCAGAGCCTGGAGCCTGTTTCCGATTCTGTGTCTCCCTCTCTCTCTGCCCCTGCCCCGTTCATGCTCTGTCTCTCTCTGTTCCAAAAATAAATAAACGTTGAAAACAAAAAAAATTTTTAAATTGCATCATTTTTGGAGCACCTGGGTGGCTCAGTCGGTTAAGTGTCCGGCTCTTGATGTCAGCTCGGGTCATGATCTCATTGTTTGTGAGTTCAAGCCTTGCATCGGGCAAGGCACTAACAGTGAGGAGCTTGCTTGGGATTCTCTCTTTCCCTCTCTCTCTGTCCCTTCCCCACTCTCCCTCTCTCAAGATGAATAAACTTTAAAAAAAATTAAAAAATAAAAAATAAATTGTATCATTTTTAAAAATAATTCTTCATTGTAGTACCATTGAAATATAATAGACATAACAAATGTTACAATTTATAGTGTACACTATAGTATATTTTGACTTCATGAAACCACCACCACAATCAAGACAGTAAAGATATCTGTCATTTCCAAAAGTTTCCTTGCCCCTTGGTAATGTATCCCTCCTGCCCCTCCTTGTCCACCCCCTTCCCTAAGCAGGGGGGGCCTTGACCTGCTTCACATTAGTTTGCATTTTCTAGAGGTTTTTTTTTTAAGTTTATGTATTCTTTTAGTAATCTCTACACCCAACATGGGGCTCGAACTCATGACCATGAGATCAAAAGTCGACTGCTCTTCCAACTGAGCCAGGTACCCCTACAGTTTTAGATATATGGAAGAATATGGGGTGTATTTTTTTTTATATGACTTCTTTCACTCAGCATAATTATTTTGAGACTTCCATGATGTTGCCTACATCAGTAGTTCCTCTTAATTGTTGAGTAGCATTTTACTGGATGCACGTACCACCATTCATTCCCCTGTCGATGGATATTTGGGCTTCCAGTTTTTAGCTCTAACAAATGAAGCTGCTATGAATATTCATGTACAAGGTTTTGCATGAACATATATTTCCTTTTCTCTTGTGTAGTGGTATCTCAGTGTGGTTTTCTTTTCTTGTAATATGATTGCCTGCCTGGTTTTCCTTATTAGGGTAATGTTGGTACCCTGCTCATAGAATGAATTGAGAAGCTATTCCCTTCTCTACTTTTTTAGGAAGAGTTTGTGGAGAATTGACATTATTTCTTTCTTACATATTTGGTAGAATTCCTCAGTGAAGGGACATGGGCCTGAGGTTTTTTTGTAGAAGGTTTCCAGTTACAATACCAGTTTCCTTAACCGAAATAGGACTATTCAAATTAGTTACATCTTGAGTAAGCATTAGTATGTTGGGTCTTTTAAGGAATTTGTCCATT